ACTCTTTCCTGACTGAACCAGCACATTGGGTGTAATACAAATCACACAGAAAACGTGTAACAGAGCTCGAGTCTCTCAGTTTTGATCCTGCACTCTGGGGTAGCGGGGGAGAAAAAGCAGCAATCTCAGTTCACCGAATGGTAGCGCTTCAGCCCTACAGTCTTACTTCCGCAGGGAGTCAGCGAGCTGTTTTATCTTCTTAAAGCAGCCTTGCAAAGGAGCTAGCAAGCGTGCGGTAAAGGGGCGCGTAGGGGCGCGTAAGGAGAGAGCTACACACCTACACTGTAGTACTTGGGGTGCAGAGGGGGTGGTTGTTCAGGGAGGTACCGGGAAGGATTTTACCTTGTGTGCTAAACACACTAAGACTTGGTTGAGCTGGGGAGAACGTGAGGAACTATCCCTTGTGTTTGAGACAGAACGGTGGAGGAGGAAAGCCAGAAGAGGCGACTGGCAAGCGCTTTTAATGTGAGTGCCCAAGCAGGGGTGCTGTTAGCGGGCTGTGTATGGAAGTGACATGGAGGGGACTTGAATCCAAGTCTGGGTCAAAGTACATTTTAATAGGTAGCGAGCGCCTCATCAGTGTAATGGCTTAAGGTACAAGAACCTCTTAAGCAGCCTCGCCCAGTACGCCAGATGTTGTAGTTAACCTGGATTTATTTACCCTGACCCGGGAAACCAGGCGAAAAGCCAACACTTTGCGGCATTAGAACAAAACTGTCGTGACAGCGCAGAGGGGAAGATCGCATCCCCCCGCCGTGTCGCCCGAGGTGAACGTGCGGGTGCAGGATGGTTCGAGGGAACGTGCTTGGTGCTGTTTGTAGCTGCGTTCATCCGAACCTCCCCACGTCTTCTAACCTCTCCTTGCTGTTGGCGACAGGGAGAGGGGACATGGAACAGAGCGAGTCGGATAACCGTCGGATAATTCGCTACCCAGACAGCCACCAGCTCTTCGTTGGGAACTTGCCGCACGACATCGACGAGAGTGAACTGAAAGAGTTCTTCATGAGTGAGTAGCAGCTTCGGCTGCGGGGGCTGAGAAGAAAAACCGTTGCGGAGTCACGTGGTGCTCACTTAGGGCGGCACGGGGGGAGCTTTGACATGTAACGCGACAGCGGTGGTCTGGGACAAGCGGTGGGGTGGTAGAGCTGGCACTGTGGGTTTTGATAACCTGGCTTTTCCCCTTTTTTTTTTTCCCAGGCTTTGGAAACGTGGTGGAACTTCGCATAAATACTAAAGGAGTGGGAGGAAAACTGCCTAATTTTGGTTTCGTGGTATTTGACGATTCTGAGCCGGTCCAGCGGATTTTAGTTGCAAAAGTAAGTAAGTTGAGTCGCCTTCAAAGGATGGACGGCGTGCCCTCAACCCCAAGCAGCGTGGGCCACGCCAGTTGCGCTGCTGTTGTTTCTGGCACTCAGCAGCTGTAAGAAAAGCACAGTTGTGGCATACTCGTTCCGTCAGGGGTTCTGTGGCTTACCAAAGCCGTGCCAGCGTTCCTCAGTCCGCGTCACAGCGCACCCAGGGTTTTCCCTCTGCGCAAAGACACCCCGTGGGGCTCAGCGCTTATTTTCAGAGATCCTTTTAAGCTGACAGTCGAGAACGTAACCTTTTGAAGGGCATCCCGTGGATCTCTGAATTCTGCATCCTGGGGCTGAGACAAAGGAGCGAGGTTGGTTGGGGTCGTGAGTTGAGGAATGGGAGAGGAGGAAGCAGCAGTTGGCATTTCTAGTCTGGGGGAGCGAGACCTGGTGGAGCAGTTCTGCAGGAGCGTTAGCCCTGAAAGCTAACGCTGGCAGTGAAGTGGCTAAAGGCAACCCTGCCCTTACTAGAGAAAGACATTTTAATTCCTTGCATGCCAAATGAATCAAAAAACGCCGTTCCATTTGCTGCAGACCTCTAAGGTTGTGTGCTGCAGGGAACCGTTGGCCGCTGCATTTTGTCTCCGGCCTGTAAGCGAAGGTAGGCGGCGGCGTGCAGCACGCGCAGTGCTTTCACGTGCCTTGTACCGACGGACTCCGAAACGGTGACTAACGTGTGCCTTGAACGCTTTTCCCTATAAGCCTATTATGTTCCGGGGTGAGGTGCGCTTGAACGTAGAAGAGAAAAAAACAAGAGCCGCTCGTGAAAGAGAGACCCGAGGTGGAGGCGACGATCGTAGGGATATTCGTCGCAATGATAGAGGCCCCGGGGGTCCCCGTGGAATAGTGGGTGGTGGCATGATGCGAGACCGTGACGGAAGAGGACCCCCTCCGAGAGGTGGCATGGCACAGAAACTCGGCTCTGGACGAGGAACCGGGCAAATGGAAGGCCGTTTCACTGGACAGCGTCGCTGACATCTCCACTGTGGGCAGACCGTCTTGGCAGTGGTACATTATCCATCGTGTTTGCATTCTTGTTAATTTTTTTTGGCTTTGGAATGTGACACAGCCCTTCTGATCATTTCTTTGATGTGAAAGCATCCTTTGGTTTCCGGTTTAAATTGAGGTGGACGTTCTTTCCCCAGTTTCACAACAGGAGTCACACTGTTAATTTATAAATGTAGACTTGGAGAATTGAGGACTGGAGAAAAAAAAAAAAGAAAAAGACCAGTTAACTATCTGCAACACAAGCGAACTAAAGGACATGCCCAGTAGAATTCAGGTCCTTTCAGTCAAAAACCCTCTGCTGCACATTTTGTGTAAGTGTTACTGTTTCTGCCTATTCCTGTTGGAAACACAAATAGTGCAGTTTGTGCAATTGGAGAAGCTTGCCTTTCTTTTGTCCTTCTTAGAACACTCGGCTCCAAACAAACTCGTGTTTACGCACTCATCAAAATGCACTAATGGGTACTCTGAACTCATTTGTATTGACATCTGCAGGAGGCATCGGAGGAAAAAAAACCCAACCTTCATCCTCTTACTCAGAATAGCTTGTGAAACGATGCGGGCATCTGATCTGCTTGCCGTGACCAACATCTCCGCACACACAAACCTTAATAAGACTACACCTTTATTCCAGAAGGAATCCATTTAGCTGCAAACTAAGCAGAACCCAGAGTTTCAAAGTCCTAGCCCTGAGTACGCAACGAGTTTGATAGCTCACGTCAGATTTTTTTCTATCTGCCCCTCTTCAGTACAGGGATGGCTGCTCAACACACTCCTCCTTCCCCTTCCCCTTCGGTAAGCGTTGTACAGTGAAACTTGTCTTGACTGTATTTGAGTTCTCTGGTAATGTAATAAGCATGATGGTGCCTTCTATGAATACATCATTCCAGTCTTGCTGGTGATTTTGTACAGTATAGTGTATGAATTACTGTGCTGCAAAGCCGATGGGCTGCGAAGCAGTTAAAGGAAACCATTGAAACATTGTATTAAAAAAAAACAAAAAACAAACCAACAAACCAAAATTGCAGTATCTTTCAATCAGTAAACGTTGCTAAAATTATCATCCACCTTGCTCTTCAATGAACAAGTTCGCCTGTTTTTTTGCAGAGTGGGGGGGAAGGGAGGAAGAAGGCATCCAAGTAGTCTCCAGGTTGTCTCTTCTCTTTGATCAGTCTCAGAGGAGACGGAGGTGAGATCTCGCTGGGAGATGAGTTGCACAGGTCAGCCGAGAACGGCGCGCGCCTTTGGCCAGCTCGCGGTCGGCAGGACCGAGCATCCTTTGCGAGGGTGAGCTTATCCAACGAGGATACTGCAATTTTCAGAGAACGAAACAGCAGCTCTTCAGTGTTTGCATTTCCCAGTTGCGCTTTTTTAAAAGCTCTCACTCGTTTTTGCACATGACTCTCGGCTGAAGCTGATGCTTAGGAGGCTCCGGACTGAAGGGTGGGAAGGAGACACCCTCACTTTGACTGGGGGGGGTTTCCAGCAGAGGGGCCCGTCTCCAGACGGCATCTGGAGCACGCTCCCGGCCGCCGCAGCGCACTTGGGCTCGATGCCAGGGCGTGCAGCGAGCACCCAGCTCGGGGGCGGCAGGAGGAAAAAGGGGGTGGATGGGGGGGTGTTTGTGTGCGCGTCTGTGCGAAGGGGCGACCGCTTCAAGCCGCTGCCGAGCGTGGAAGACCTCGACCACAACAACTGCGGCTTCGAGCAGAAGCAGATAGGGCGGCGTAGCAATCTGGCTCTGGGTCATGCAATCATTTCCAGTGGCTTGGAAGATTTTGCACATGTTTTCCTGATACGTTAGGCAAAGTGAAGTGGCATCTGTCTGTTTTCTCCCAGACTCGGTCTTCTGTGTTCCATGGTAAGTCTGGCACTCTCTTCATACACCCCTTTTTTCCCTTTTCCGGGGCACGTGTCTACGGTTTCATTTTCATGTTTTCAGTTTT